AACAACTTGGAATATATTGAATTGAATTTTTGATTTTCCCGTCGATTGATTGGACCGAAGTGCTCGGTCTCAGGTTGACATGTCGGCTTCTTGTGCAGATGCTTCGACGATGTCTGGGCATTTAGTTAGTATACAATTGGTGGATGGTGGCTAGCAGTGGAATCCAGGATGCGCATTTCGTCCTATTTGGGACTCGTCAGCTGGATGTACCTGCATTTCTCAGTGAGTGATGATGTTCCCACTGAGGCTCGAACCCAGTACCCATAGTTTCAAACGCCTCAGTGGGAACATCATCACTCACTGAGAAATGCAGGTACATCCAGCTGACGAGTCCCAAATAGGACGAAATGCGCATCCTGGATTCCACTGCTAGCCACCATCCACCAATTGTATACTAACTAAATGCCCAGACATCGTCGAAGCATCTGCACAAGAAGCCGACATGTCAACCTGAGACCGAGCACTTCGGTCCAATCAATCGACGGGAAAATCAAAAATTCAATTCAATAATTAATATGACCCGTCGCACAAGAGGTGGCTCTCGTGGCCCAAGTGGTCTAGTGGATAACGCTTTGGCGTTTGAAACTATGGGTACTGGGTTCGAGCCTCAGTGGGAACATCATCACTCACTGAGAAATGCAGGTACATCCAGCTGACGAGTCCCAAATAGGACGAAATGCGCATCCTGGATTCCACTGCTAGCCACCATCCACCAATTGTATACTAACTAAATGCCCAGACATCGTCGAAGCATCTGCACAAGAAGCCGACATGTCAACCTGAGACCGAGCACTTCGGTCCAATCAATCGACGGGAAAATCAAAAATTCAATTCAATAATTAATATGACCCGTCGCACAAGAGGTGGCTCTCGTGGCCCAAGTGGTCTAGTGGATAACGCTTTGGCGTTTGAAACTATGGGTACTGGGTTCGAGCCTCAGTGGGAACATCATCACTCACTGAGAAATGCAGGTACATCCAGCTGACGAGTCCCAAATAGGACGAAATGCGCATCCTGGATTCCACTGCTAGCCACCATCCACCAATTGTATACTAACTTGGAATATAATTCTGAATACAAAAACATGAATGAGCAAAAAAAAATAATGAAATGTATATTTGAGTACAAATCATAAATGTGTGAATACAAAACACGATTCCAACAGTGGTGTGAACACGGGCAGTAATTTTGCTCGAAATATTACCAATAACAAAACTTATCATTGTGTGTCAACTATTGAAATAGAATTATACTTTATTCGACGTAATCCACAATGCTCAAACGTTTTACTGATATTAACTGCTATATTTACTTCTGCTCTTTGTTTTATATTAAAGTAAGGTGGTGTTGTTATTCACGTTTCTAATTGTTAATAGGTATTCACATGGTGTGCTAGAGTTAAAAGCGCGAAAAATTCTCGCAACAAAATCTGAAGCCATTTTAGTTGTCAACACTCCATCCAAACAAATATTTTTCAAAAAAAAGGTATCCATATAGCTGGTTAGTTAACAACTCAAGATAGAAGTTTGTCAATAAGTAAATAAGTTTGTATTTCGATGAAGAAAGGAAGATGAAATTTGTAGTATTTAAGATTGAAATTTGTTCAGTGAGTTGAGATCACTGAATTAGATTAGATGGCTAACTAATGTAATAAAAATCGAAAAATCAGTTACCAAGGCAGTGAGAGGTTAATCACACACACTCTCTTTTTCTGTGTGCATAAGTCTGGCTGGTTTGAATCGTTTGATTGCGATCGCTTCGGCGAATCGTAGTAAATTCGGCAAATTAAAAACTGTAACTGCTTTTATTTTCTGAGTTGCTATGTGAACAAGGGAACACTGTTTGTTAGTTGTTTCTATTTTCTGTCTTACTCCTACCCCCCTTTTTTCTACTTTGAAAGCGTACAAATTGATGATGAAAATTTAAACTAAAACAATTGTAATGCTTTCATTTTGGATGCGTCAATTTTATAGTATCTCTTCTCTACTACCATTCAAACATTAAAGCATGTTATTATCATCGTCTATATAACCATTGTAATTTCAGGTAGTGGTGTGCAGCTGATGAAATAGAATGATGATATCATTTGATAATGCAAATTTCATCTTCCTTTCTTTATCGAAATTTATCAAGGGAATCAAAACTTAAGTTTGTATTGTCACACCTCCAAAAAGCAGACGTGAAAGTAAAGTATTCACCACATCCCAGCACCCATATTCCATCCATTTAATTAAAATAAAATTCTGTTCAGACTATTCCTGCTGCATTATCTTACATCTGGCATTTTACCAAAAAAGCCATGTTATTTAACCAATGTAGATGAATGTGATTATTCTTTATCCTGTTAGGGGAGGATGCTGACAAAATCCAGCAGAGTCTTCTGAACACCTTGAGCAGCAATCTTCGTATGTTTGGCATGCGATTCGCCCCTGCAAAATGTAAGATGCGGCTACAGGACTGGACTACGTCAACTCCTAACTTAGTGATAGGAAGTGAAGTGATAGAACATGTTGACCACTTCACATATTTGGGAAGTTGTACCAGCACCAACGGACTGATTGGCGACGAAATCTCAGCACGTATCCAAAAAGCTCGAGCTGCTTTCGCTGACTTACACCATCTCTGGCGTAGGCGTGATATCCGGCTATCAACTAAGGGACGTTTGTACTGCTCAGCAGTTCGCTCCGTCCTTGTCTATGGCTCTGAAACATGGCCAATACGAGTTGAAGACATGAAAAGGTTGACTGCTTTCGATCATAGATGTCTGCAATCTCTTTCTCACGTTAGGTGGTATAATAAGGTGAGTAATGTTGACGTTAGGCGTAGTGTTGGGCAAAGAGGGAAAATCAATCGACGAGGCTGTAAAGTTACATAGATTGAGATGGTTGGGTCACGTGCTGCACATGCCTAACCATCGCCTCGCCCGACGGGCATTACTAGCTGATATAGGTGAAGGTTGGAAAAGAGTAAGTAGTGGCCAAACAAAAACATGGCATCAGTCCATGAAATCCTTGACAGTTAAACTGAGTCAGGTAGGGAGATGCAGACTTCCAGGTTGGGGCCCTCGGGACTTTAGGAATCAATGGCTGGAGACTATAGGTGACATGGCTTAAAATCGTTGTCAATGACCAGCGCAGATGTATTCAGTCTCTGTAATCTTTCATATTTCTTTCTACCATTACCCATTCTGTTTCACTCTTATACTTGACAGAATGTATTGACTCTCTTCACTCATCTTCTTGTCTACTTCTGTGTGCTATTTGGAAGGTGGCAACTCGAAGTGGTGCACTTCGGTGCCATGTTCTATGTTGAATCCTGACAGACAGACAGATTCTTTAGTGCCAAATCGAGTGTGCTAAAAATTCTTTATTCAGCCTTGGAGAATGAGTATTAAGGTTTCCTATACATATCCTTGTAAGTGTATTTTAACAAAAATAAAACTCAGCATTTCACTGCAAAACATGAACTGTAGAATTATTCATATTTAAGTATCAGTTAGGAGTTTAGTAATGGAGAAATAAATTCGGTTATATAGCTAAGTCATTAATGGAGAATCGTTTCGCATATACTGAACTACTTTTAAAGTTTTTTTAAATAGTAATAATATACTGCACTTTTATATTTATGAGATAATTTAGTTAGAAATCGATAGATTCACCAACCAAAGATGTAATTAGCATTTACTACACATATCCCTTGCCGATAACTGCTACCTTGTCGTGGTGGTCGGGCTTGAATACCGTAATGACCCAACATACTAAACTGACTGGGACTCTGTCCCTCTGCAGGTCCTACCATGTCAGAAAGGTTGTTTGGATAGCGGTTAAACTAAAAGCACTTACCATGGGGTACATGGGCTCCAGTATCATCCAATCGGATCAAATGGCGTATGAACCCATATGGGTCACCGCGAAAACCATGGGAATGCAGCTCCTGACGCTGCTCCGCTGCCTTTCGGATTAGACTCCAAGTCCAAGGCCCGGGGGGAGGTCCCTTAATAAAACCACCTTCTTCGGTCTGGGCGCCCGGGAAGTATCTCAGCCCAATGAACACAATGAATTGAATGAAGCAACAAACAATCAAGGAAACTTATCGCGTGCTATTACACGTGTTGCAGTTACCTTCTTTCTTCCCTTCCCGATGATAGTTAACGAATACTGTTTGAAGTTGTTAAGCATGACTGTTTTCCTTCCAGATGAAGTTCTTTATCCGTTCTCTACTTATATATATATATATATTTCTCTTCTTTCTTTTTTCTTTTGATCTATGTTGCTTTATCATTGTTGTGTGGCGCATCCTTCTTGGTGCCATATTGTACCAAGTTTTTATGCGTTTAAATAAATAAAAATAAAATACTACTCATATTCCGCAGCCAAATGCAGTTACTGCACATCAGATGTATTAGATTATTATTATTACAAGCGGACAACAACAATGATACTGTTATTAAAGAATAACTTTAGAAAGTTGAAGTGAATAAATGGTTGAGATTTAGGATGTGATGTATTCTACCAAATGAAAAGCTCCCCTTACCTTCTGAAATCTCTTGACAGGGTCAGATCATCAGACATTTTGAATTGTTGAATGTGTTCACTGCTTGGACAATAGGAACTGATGTTTGTAGGTGCCAGGTGATATTCTGTGAAGGCATAGCTGTAGCATTCATTCGCAAAAGATTTGATGCTATGCCGCACCAAGTTTCAGATAAATACACAAGATACCCAACTCCTAGTCGTTTATTTCCATTTCATTTCTATTTATTTGAATCAAATAAGCAGGCAGAATCATTGACCTCTACACGTATTTATGGGGCATTTTGCAACTATGTACATTTTGTACAAGCCAAGAAGCACCAAAAAATGTTGTCGTCCCTTAAGGAATCTCCTTCAGAGTTTATTGTTTTCCCCATAAGTAAGGACCGGCTGCTATACACGTGTTTCTTCTGTTTGTTCACTCAAATCATTTATATTTTGCGTTTTTGATTTTTTATTTACCTACAGTTTTCTATAATCAGAGATGGACCCAGTACTAACACCAGAGATAATACATATTGGCTCACGTCATTACAGAAAAAATGCATCAAAACAGTGTTTTACCCAGGCGTTTCCTACATCTATCAGTCAGATTGAAGAAATTTCAGATGCTGAAGAGGTTGATGTTGATGAAACAGACCCTGAAATCTCAGAATTAAGCAAAAATATTATAATGGTTGAAAATGGATACACTACAACAATTAATGTTCCGTCAATGTTTCACAAATTCATCATTGGTGTTCAACACTCAAAGAAAAAACTATTAGAAGATGAATTTCGATGCAACATTGAAATTCCATTGTTCACTTCTAATTCTCCAGTGATTTCTGTGACTGGTTCTTCGAAATTCAATGTCTTGAGTGCTTGTCGTCGTATTCTTTGGATAGTATCTGATGCTCGTATTCGTTGCCAACCAACTCACTTCATATGCTTGCCAGTCACGTGCCAAGTAGTAAAGGAAAACTTCCAGAAATTCCGACAGTCTGTTTTGCAGGCTGCCAAAAAGTCTGCTGCTCACGATTTTATGGGTGTAGATAGTTCTATCTTTCATTCAACATCCACACTGCATTTTACTCTAGTCACACTGGTTTTGGCTGACAAATATGAGATCGAACAAGCTTGTGATGCACTGGAAACATTTTGTAAATCTGCAAAAGGTTATGAACTGTTTTCCCGTGGTCCTCTCAGTCTTACCCTGAGGGGTCTGGAGTACATGAATGATGACCCCGATTCTGTCCATGTCCTGTACGCCAAGGTAAACCTTGTTTTTTTTCTCCTTCACGTTCCCCAGTGGAACATAGGGCTTCAAGCTAGTGGCTTAAAGTTTCTGTAGCAGTGTTTAATTTATACAGGATGGGGTTGCTAACCTCATGCCCAGCCTTTCTTCTTTACCAGAATTATTTCTTGCTTTGCGAGGTAAAGGAATGCGTCGGCCGGGAATCGAACCCCGGACCACGTGCATGGTCGGCGAGCGTCCTAACCGCTATGCCACTAACGCATGAAACCTTGTTTTAGGGAACTATACTTCTCGATTATAGATTATTTGAAAAGAGTCAATGTAGCTGTTTGTTAAATTCATTACTAACTATTACTATTACTATCATCATCTTTGTGCTGGTTAAAATCTATCTTTTTCATGAAAGTGAACAAATTTGAGTGTAGTGTGATAATGACTTAAGACCAAGCTTCGCAGGATGATAATAGTCTCTCTCTCTTTCCGTATAAATTTCGTCAATAAATAGCCTGAAGAATATAATAGTAGGTTGTACAACTGGCTGTATCGTTTAAGGAAGCATGGGAAACGAGTGTTCTATTATTGTGCCTATCTCTAAAAAGTGCCTGAATAATTTTGATATGGTTGTGTTCTCTGAGCTAGCTGGATAGTTAATTTGCGAAGCTTTCATCCCCCTACTGGATGACATCTTCAGCGCATACCTCAATTCAGTGAAGTCAGCTTTTAGATTTCTCCACGAGTTTATTAATCATCTCTCCTGGTGACCACCTTGGACGTGGTTGGTTGTTTTGTGTGTTTTCACACTTTCTAGGCAGCTACTTGTATTGGAACTGATTGTTTCTTTGATTTGAACTTTGACCCTTTGTGTGTGTGTGTGTGAGGTTTCTTTCTTATCGGCTGATAAATTTTGTCTATCTCGGTGTGTCTATTGATTGATGATTCAATGGAATGCCAGGCTGGCTTCTAAAAATTCTCTAGCATTCTTGTTGTTTCCCATGTCTAATATTTTGAACGTTGTCCGAGTCAAACTAATTTCCGTGGTTGTCTGTATGTAGTGATATGAGGGAGTGGATATCATGTCTTTTGACGGCTAACTTATGTTCGTGGATACGAAGACGAAGGGGACGTCCACTTTGGCCAATGTAGTGTTTTTCGCAGTTGTTACAGTTTATTTTGTAGATGATGTTGGTTTTATCTTCTTTCGCTGTTGAACCTTTTGGTTGACATAGAATTGAGTGAAGCGACTTCGTTGGTTTGTGTGCGACGTCAATTCCTAAAGGTTTGAAGAGTCTTGTAGTGATTTCTGAGATATCCTCTAAATATGGTAAGGCGATTTTCTTTGTGCCTTCCTTGGTTGGGGCTTTTGCTTTGGTAGGTTGGCTTGGGTGTTTATGTCTTCTGATGAAATTCCGCGGATATCCATTCTTTTGGAAGACCTCCATGAGATACTTTTCTTCAATTTTCCTTAAAGTGGGAGTGCTGCAATGAGTCCTTGCTCTTTTGAATAGTGTTTGTATGCAATTCCTTTTGTGTGTTATTGGATTGTTGTTGTTGTAATTCAGGGTTTGGTCTGTGTGAGTTGATTTTCTATAAACTTGAGTTTCTAACTCCCCTGTGGTTGTTCGCTTGCCTAAGATGTCCAAAAATGGTATTTTGTTCTCGGATTCCTCTTCTCTTGTGAATCTGATGTCGTTGAATTCGTTGTTTATTAAGTTGTGAGTTTTATCTAACTCGTTTCTTTTGATTATTACAAATGTGTCGTCGACGTAGGGTATCCAAATCTTGGGTTTGATCTTTGATAGAATTATTTTTTCGAGTCTGTGCATCACTGCTTCTGTAATCAAACCTGATATTGGTGATCCCATGGGTGTTCCTTTGACTTGTTCATATATTTGACCGTTGAATTCGAAGTATGTTGTTAGGCATAAGTTTATGCATTCCATCCAGCTTGTGCGTTGCATTTTTGATTGTTGTGTGAGGTATTCATCGTTGCTAAGTAATTGCTCCATGGTTTCTTTTGCTAGTTTTTGTCCAATTGAGGTAACCTAGAAGGTGTGAAAAGACACAAAAAAACAACCATTCACTTCGAAGGTCACCAGGAGAGATGATTAATAAACTTGTGGAGAAATCTAAAAGCTCACTTCACTGAACTGAAGTATTCGCTGAAGATGTCACTTAGTAGGGTGATGAAAGCTTCGCAAATCAACCATCCAGCTGAGAGAACACAACCACATCAAAAAGATTACTACTCCTTATTACCCGCACATGTTTGTCCACTACATACAATACAGCTTTTTATCTGTTCTGTTCTGTTTTTCTCTTTTCGCCTACCTTTTTGAAGTGTGGAGTTGATACTACACACTCGTACAAATTTGTACGTTAATTCACCCTCTTCTGTATTACGTAAAAATGATTTGATATATGTAAGCTGAATTAAATATGAAAAAATTTTTAAGACGATTAGTTTTTTTGCAATATAATAACGAAAGTTTTTAGCTCAGGATGAGTGAGTGTGGTAATTATTTATTTTCTTGCTTGTTTTGATAATCAGTTGTTAGTAGCTCTTTATTCTTAGGCTGGAAGACTTCCTCTTATTATAATTTATTTATTTAAAAGCATAAAAACTTGGTACAATATGGCACCAAGAAGGATGCGCCACACAACAATGATAAAGCAACATAGATCAAAAGAAAAAAGAAAGAAGAGAAATATATATATATATATATATATATATATATATATATAAGTAGAGAACGGATAAAGAACTTCATCTGGAAGGAAAACAGTCATGCTTAACAACTTCAAACAGTATTCGTTAACTATCATCGGGAAGGGAAGAAAGAAGGTAACTGCAACACGTGTAATAGCACGCGATAAGTTTCCTTGATTGTTTGTTGCTTCATTCAATTCATTGTGTTCATTGGGCTGAGATACTTCCCGGGCGCCCAGACCGAAGAAGGTGGTTTTATTAAGGGACCTGCCCCCGGGCCTTGGACTTGGAGTCTAATCCGAAAGGCAGAGGAGCAGCGTCAGGAGCTGCATTCCCATGGTTTTCGCGGTGACCCATATGGGTTCATACGCCATTTGATCCGATTGGATGATACTGGAGCCCATGTACCCCATGGTAAGTGCTTTTAGTTTAACCGCTATCCAAACAACCTTTCTGACATGGTAGGACCTGCAGAGGGACAGAGTCCCAGTCAGTTTAGTATGTTGGGTCATTACGGTATTCAAGCCCGACCACCACGACAAGGTAGCAGTTATCGGCCGGGGGAAGACTTCGTCTACCCTTCATTAATTAATTTTCCCTGTTGTCATCTGTTTTCTTTTGCAAAGATTACTTAGATCCGTGATTATGGGAAGCTGTTAATTTTTTTTTGTAATCGCTAATATTGATTGTGTTTCAAAAAAGAAATCGTCTTCATGGTTTTTCGTAGCTAACTGAATCACCTGATGCACAGCGACTACAAGCTATTGCTAATGAATTACTGAATGTATTCACTGAACAAAACTTGGTAAGCAATGGTCCATACCGTCCAGATAATTCTGTGAAGCTACACATGACTCTCTTGAATTCTAAGTATCGACAAGAAAGAGATAGTCAAAATGCATCTTCATCGCATGGATTTTCGCCTAACGCTGCTCGTAAACCGTTCAGCATAACAGGGATTATGAAAGTTGCAGGGGATTTTTCTTTTGCTGAAAATCAATCCTTTGATCAACTTTATTTGTGTGATCGATTATCATTCGATTCTACTACTCAATTCCATAAATGCTGTTGTAAAATTGAATTCAGTAATGCCTGTGATAGTGAGTGTGTACGTGTTGTGAAAGTATAAACGGATCTATCTTCTTTATAACATTTTTATTTCATCTCTCTTCGTCAGTCGATCAGTTTCATTCTTTCTTGATTGGTTAACCACAATGGTCTTGTAAATCCTATTATATTTGCTTTTAAGTAAATGTTTTTCTAACTTTGTAATTGCCTTAACTGTTGGGAGAATCAAGTATATTCATAAGTGACTCCACTTTCCAGTCCTCTTCTTTTTTTCAAGAATTAGTCTTCAGGGATTCTATTTGTTTCAGGTTAGACTATGGATTGATATCAGTTAGAGAACCATCAAAAACCAGGGAATACTGGGCAGCTGTTTCATCAGTCTACTTTGAGACTCATCGGCAGTAAGCTTGTTAAATTATTTGTCTAATGCCATTGTTTATCATTTCAAAAATAAGGATGTTATTCAAAGCGGTAGTAAAAAAGAATCTGCTTACAACCTGGGTGAAGAGCTTCATCATTCGAGATGACTAGGCACACGTGCTTCGTGTCCAAAGCCATTGCCTTCCTCGTCAAACCATGTTAGTCGACATATGACCAGGTTGCTAAAAAGTGTTAGGGATGGTCATATCAAAACTTCGCATCCATCCATCAAGTCTGATTGTTGTTTTGGGTTATGTAGGAGAGGTGTAGACGACTACCAGGTTTTAGACCTCGAGATTCAAAGAATTAGTTGGGTGGAGACTACTGTTAAAGATATGGCTCGAAACCCCTTTTCCACGTGGCACACAGATGCATTCACTCTGTAGTCTCCTACATCCACTGGACCTTGATGTTTTTCCACGATACTCTTCCTCCTGTTGTGTACCTTTGACAGCCCATTATCGTTATTTGGGATTTCTATCACTTTTCGCTACCTTTGTGTGCTACATATGGAGTGTAAGAACTTGAATTGCTTCACTCATGTGCAAAGTTTCACGTTTAAACTCAGTCAGACAACCAAGTTGATGAAAGTGAATAGTTTTGTTGCAGTGTGGATAAATTTTAGTTTTTCCCGGTGAAACAAAATGTCGAACAATCATTATGAAGAGAAATGGTATATGCAGACGAATGTTAATGTTAAAGCGGTAAAATATAACAAATCACTGTAATAATATAACTGAATAACTGGGTTTTCTCGCAAACAATCAACGGTGGTAGTAAGGAGATATTCAGGGACAAACATCAAAGTGTGGTGAGAGCAGGC